GCTCCGGGAGATCCGCGCCCAGTACGAGTCTCTGGCCGCTAAGAACCTGCAGTCGGCCGAGGAGTGGTACAAGTCCAAGTTCGCCAACTTGAACGAGCAGGCGGCGCGCAGCACCGAGGCCATCCGAGCCAGCCGGGAGGAGATCCACGAGTACCGGCGCCAGCTGCAGGCACGCACCATTGAGATCGAGGGCCTGCGCGGGGCCAATGAGTCCCTGGAGAGGCAGATCTTGGAACTGGAGGAGCGGCACAGCGCTGAGGTGGCCGGCTACCAGGTAAGGAAGGGCGGCTGCGCAGCGTAGGAAAACGAGTGCCCTGCCCCTTGCCGCGGCGCGTAGCTGCACTCCCTGTAAACTGGGGCCCCAAGGAAACCAGGAGAGGGAAAGGCGGGGGAGAGGAGTGTTGGCTGGAGGTGTTGGCAAACAAAAACAAAAACAAAAACTCGCGGTCCCATGCGTGCAGCCTCAAATGTGAACTGTATGTGCTTGGAAGCTCTGTCAACCCCTTATTGTCTCCGCACTCTATTTTGGGTGATGGGGGAGTTTTAGGGACCGAACCCAAGTCTTCCTGCATGTGCTAGGCGGATGCTGTAACACCGAACTACAACCGCCACCCCCAGTCCCTCGTCTGAACTCCGCTAACAAAGAAGTCTTCAATCTTTTCGAGAGTCTAACCGTGCCTACCTGTTACCAAGAGTATAAACACACTAAAAGAGCAGACCCAGCCCCTCTGGCAGGCCCAGAAGGAGAGCTCACAGCCTCCAAGTGGTCCGGTCCTTAAGTACCTGGTTTGTTTAGTTGGCTTTGAAAGGACTTTTCTGGGACTTAAAATTGATATTTATAGAGTATGGTCTGTTTTATGGTTGGGAACTGGGCTCATTTTCTTGAGGTTTTCTCTAAAAGGAGTGAGAGCGGGCATAATTAAGCTAGTGACAACTGCCTTGCCCCACCCTTACCGCCCCTCCCAAACCTGCGCGCACACACATGCACGCGCAGTCTCCTTGTCCATCTAGACAGTTCTGACAGTTCTAAGAAAGCGCTGAATGTGGGGCGCTGTCCGCAGTGCTGATCTCTAGTTGCTCCCGCCTCAGAAATGTCTCCTGCTTCATTATGTTTCCAAACTGTCCCAGTTAGGAATCTCTGGGCCTCGAGGCAATTAACTGCTTCAGTTTTTTTTTTTTTTTAAGTTCTATAATACAATCAGTCTTGGCTTTTGAAAGTCAAAGTTCATTTTGCAGCAGCATCAATTTTCACCTCCATGGATGGCTCAGCACTTAACAAAAATCATTTAATCTGCTCCACAGCTGTGAGGTCCCATTTGAAAGCTCAATTACCTTAATATTTTTCCAGCTAAGTGCATGTGGCAAATTACAGAGATGGTTTCTTTGTTATAGGCGACATTTTTTTCATCTTCCCCTGCTCTGTAAGCTCTATGAAGGTCATAATTGGCTCTTTCTTCCCAACAAAGCCACTGTGTCCTCAGTTTCACTGCATTGGACATTCTAGTATTGTGACTACAAAGGGCACAGATAAAGAAGATAGGATGAATGACAAATGTAGAAAAAATACAAAATTACATGGTTTAAATACAAGGAACAATAAAAAGCTCCTTTGAATAGAAAGTCTATAATTCAGAAACTTCAAATTATTTTAGCTGGAATTGAATTTTACAGTTGATAAAATTAATGTGTTTGGGGAACACTACTAAAAACAGAACCAGGAAATGGCATGATATTTCAAAAGTACCATTTTAGTCAGAACCCAAAGAATTATTGATATGCAGGTATTGATTGTCCGTTTATGAATGACTCCCTTTCATAAAAGGAAAAGGCCTGTTTGAATTGTCTGTTTGGCTAGTCTGATATTACAGTATTATTCAAGTAAATATTCTTGTTTTGCTACAAAAATCTGTAAGTTGAGCTTTTCTATGTCTGTTTGGCTAGTCTGATATTACAAGTAAATATTCTTGTTTTGCTACAAAAATCTGTAAGTTGAGCTTTTCTGCCTGTGTCCCAGGCCCTGGATGATCTGAATAAATCAATCACACTTAATTAAGATTTCTTCTCTTCCAGAAGCCTCAAATGTTGAATTAAATAGTCTTCTGGACGACTAGCCCTATATTTCTACAAACAGGGTAACTTGCCCCAAACGGTCAGCTGAATTGGGCTCTTCTGTGTCCTCCTTTTGCTTGTTCTATGAGGTGGAGATGATATTATCTGGCTTATTAGCTTTCTGTGTTAGAAAATAGTAGGGTGGTCTAGTCAAGGTCTGGGAAACAAAGGGCAGGAGAACCTGCAGACTCTGCAGCACTGTCCCCATCAGCATTAGCTTCAGGGCCTCAGTGGACCTGCTGAGGGGGTGGAGAGAGGCCAGATAACACAAAGCTATTTCCTACCCCTTGGGACCTAACGCTGGCTGGGGTGGGGCCCACGGTTTGACCTGCAAGCACTAAGGCTTGCTGTCCCTGGTTGTTTCCCAACAACCTTAGTGCTCGTGGAGGTGGAGAGCCTCCTAGCTGTGAAGCCATTGTCTACTGGCCCCTTTACCTCCTCCCCTTTCACTGCAGTCGTAATGGAGGTGTTCTTTCCCTTCTGGCTCAGAGACTCCTTTACAAGCTTTCTGCCCTCTCGAAGACAAGAGAAAATGCCCATTAAAGTCCTTTTCCCTACTCCAGAGAGCTGACAGCCTATTTGAAGACAGAAAGCTTAATATACTTTCAAAAGGACAAAGCGTGATTCAAGGTGACACAGTAAACATACCATAGGAAGAACTAGGGCTGTTGTCATACAGGCCAAAGGCAGCCATGCTTTGCATAGAACAAGGCATTCCTTTTATTTCTGACAGAGGACACTTTCTAGTCCAGGTGTTACTAAGGATGTACAGAGGCCGTCTCAGAGGCAACCAGCTTTCAGACCTATGCTATAAGCATCTTAGAAAACCAAAGCTTTCCTTGAAAGACCTTGCTGAGCAGTCAAGATTACTGCCGGTTAATGCTCCCCAGGGAGGTAAGCCAAGGCTACCCTCTTTTCCAATGTGAGGCTGGAGCCCAGCCTAATTAAATAGCAGGCAGGGTCTGGCCCTTGGGAGACCAGAGGCGGCAGTGCTGCGTATAAACCTATAGCTTGATAGATCCATTTGTGAAATTAGGATTCAAGGGAGGAGCGAACTCATTTTTTTAAAAGCTGTTCCATCTGGTCACCACCCCAATCTCACCCTGTGTTACCTGGACCACCACAATAGCGTCTTTACAAGGATAAATTTAAATCAGTGATCTAAACTCCGAGCACACCAAGACCAAGGAGCAGCTTCTTAAAAGAGAGATTCTCAGACCACATCTGAAGAAATGGATTCAGTATTCCTTAGGTAGGGACAGGAATATGTTTTTTATTCCATTTTGTAAGACTGTGTAGCCTAAATTGGGATTGAACTTAAAGTCTGTTCTGTAGGCATGCCCCATCACACCCTGCTAGGAATGTGCATTTCCAATGGAAGTGTTATTTCATTTGTTGTTGGTTCTCAGACCGACTGGAGAGTATTGACCTAAACCACATTTTCTCGTAAAATATGACTTTAGAGGGTGATAGAAGACAAGGGCAAAGCGAAGCTAGGAGTAAGAATAAGGACGTGTGGTTCCTGTGGGTAACGGTACATTAACATCCGCTCTCCCTAGCTAGGTGATTATGCTTAGCCGAAGTTCTGTATGGCCTGCACTCTGGTTCACCTGGCCAAGGTCTCCCACTCCCACCCCTAAAGTGAGGAAACGGGCACACTGCTGTTCCTTTTCTTCCCTGCAGATGAAGTGTGGCCATGCTTTGTCTTTCTCCCCACCTGCCTCCTTCCAACCCTGGGCCAGATGCTTAGCTGCTCCAGGAGAGAGCCCAGCTGGAGCAGGGAGGGCCACCTCTCTCCAGTTCTCCAAGCTAAGCCTGCAGCAGCTGCATGGTTGGGGGAGGGGGCAGACTGCAGCACTGCTCACATTTCCTGCTGGAGGCCATCTTTGGAGGCCCTATGAAGGGCAGCAAGACAGCCCAGTGCGGGGAGGAGTGTACAAACAAAGACCAGAGCTTGGGGAGCCATCGGTGACAGTGGTCAGCAGTTCAGTCAGCTCCTTCTGAAAGGAGCTGGGATACACTTTTTGTCTTTAGTCCATAAAGTAGCCATGTGAGATATTTGACATACACATGGAAGAAACCCTCACCTGCCTAGAATTCAGCTCCCCAGCAGCCTCTTTTTCCAAAAACAGCTGTGAAATAAAAGCAGTTAATAAACGATCAAATTAACCTGCTGATGAGACCAAACATTTACCTCTAAACCACATAATGGGAAGTTGGACCACTGATGCCCTCAGCCTAACAATTCTTATTGTGATTCCTCAAAAACAAAAACAAAAACAAAACACAATTCCTTATTTGAGTTTCAAGCCTGCAGAAGGATAAAAAGGGAGACCACTAAAGTTAGGCATTGACAAGAACACTTTTCAGGACAAAGAAAGGCAATAAACTGCAACATCAAGACAAACACTGCTCTTTGGAACCATGTAGGGTAGAAATGAACATCAAATATGTCTAAAAGATAACACATGAAATTATAGAAAAATAACATCGTTTCCATGGCCCTTGATTGCTGAGAAAGACTGTATTAGTTTCATGCCCTAATAGTAAGTGGCATTTGCCACCTTAAAATGTTTTATGTAAATTATCATTCTGAGGGATGTTTGAAAGATAGCTCAGCAGGCAAAGGCAGTTAGCACCAAGCCTGACAGCCTGAGTTGGTACTCAGACTCCACATCCATTCCCAGGACCTACCTAGCCGGAAGACAGAACCAACTCCTACAGTTGACGTCTGGTTCCACATAAGCCAGGTGACATATACCTGCCCCCACACATAAACAAGTCAGCAAATAAATAAATGTACAAAAATTCAAATAATCATTTTCTTTTTAAAAAGCTGGTGCTTTGAGTAATATGCAGCCATCTATCCAACATTAGATTTTTATTACATATAGGGCTGGAGAGAAGGCCCAGTTGTTAAAGAGTGTTTTGCTCATTTAGAGAACCTGAGTTCAGTTCCCAGCACCTACATCAGGTGGCTCACAACTGCTCGTAACCTTAGCTCTGGAATATCTTACCTCTGTGGGTACCTATACTCACACTCACAGACATACAAACATACATACACATATGTACACAGTCAAGGAAGGACCCATGAAACCTCCCTTGGTAGAAGTTCCCAACCCTCAGTCGGCATCTAAATTTCCCAAGAACCTTTAAGGAGGAAAAATGCAAATGTTGAGTCCCTACCCCAGAGCAAACCACACAGAATCTACGCTGGACACAGACTGCTGTGCAAGTATTCTATCAGTTCCTTATGTGATTTTAATGTGTAGTCAGGGTTGAGATCCTGCCTGTGGAAATGCCAATTTTTGCTACTTTGGTCTAAACATTTTGGATATGTACTTTCCAGGATAGCATTGGGCAGCTGGAGAATGACCTAAGGAACACCAAGAGCGAGATGGCACGCCACCTTCGGGAATACCAGGACTTGCTCAATGTCAAAATGGCCCTTGACATTGAGATAGCAGCTTACAGGTACACAAAAGGGGCATGTTTACTCTAGCAAAGCACATGCTCACCTGGGGGCAATGTCACTGCACAAGTGGCTCGGTGTGGTCTGTTTCTGACCAGTGAGGGAGGGTGGAGAGAGCATCTATCCAGTCCAGATGAACTGGCCCTTAAGTCCCTTTACTTGACGGTATCCTAGCTTCACCTTGCTAGTCCCGGAGTATTCTGCATACCTCTGTGGGCAGTTAAAAGGTACTGCAGGCATCTAGAGGTCAAAATGAAAGCCTGTCAGACTCTGAATTTAAAAATAGAGGTTGGGACCTGTCATGGTGGCGCCCACCTTTAATCTCAGCACTGGGGAGGCAGAGGCAGGCTGATTTCTGTGAGTTTGATCAAGTTCCAGGACAGCCAGCACTGTTACACAAAGAAACCCTATCTTCAAAAACAAAACAAGACAAAAATAGGGGTTGGGGCTAAGAGATGGCTTAGTAGTTAAAAGCACATATTACCCTTAAGGGATCCGAGTTTGACTCTCAGAACTTATATCAGGTAGCTCACAACTCCCTGTAACTTGCTCCTGGCCTCCCCAGGCATCTGCACTTGCTTACACACACACACACACACACACACACACACACACACACACACTGTAGAGAAAACTCCTCTCCGCACGCACGCACGCACGCTCCCATCCTTACACACAATTAAAAATAATAAAAATGAATCTTTAAAAAATAAAAATACAGGGCTGGAGAGATGGCTTAGGGGTTAAAAGCACTGTCTGCTCTTCCAGAGGTCCTGAGTTCAATTCCCAGCAACCACATGGTGGCTCACAACCATCTGTATGTAATGTGATCTGGTGCCCTCTTCTGGCACCCACTGTATACATGACAAATAAATAAATAAATCTTAAAAAAAAAAATACAGTCAGGCATCGGTGGTTTAATCCCAGCACTCTAGAGGCAAAAGCAGGTGGATCTCTGAGTTCAAGACCAGTCTGGCCTATAGAGCAAGTTCCAGAACAGCCAGGGCTATAGTAAGACAAGACAGTAAGGAGTTAAAGGCCAGCCTCAGCTACATACCAAGGCCAGTCAGGGCTATATGGGACCCTATCTCCAAAAACAAAAGAACAAACAAAGAAGCAACAGCAGAGCCCTATTAGAGTAATGAGAACAAGACAACAGAGCCACTGTGATCTGGTGCTGTTTAGGTTGAGTGACAGTCACAGCTTGTTCTATTCCTTTCATACATGGAAAAGCGTAAGTCTCAAGTGTGGGCTAGACTAGGCAGTTAGTTTCTGACTCCTCTGTGGACTTCTCACTTCCTCACCCCTTTACAGTTAAGGTGTTAATTAGGGAAATTACTTCTCTCCAGAGCTTTGTAGACTCTAATTGCCAAAAATGGGTGTCTAATGTGGCCAAGGGAGGGTTATATGTTTCCCTGCAGGAAAACAATTTGTGAATGGGATAGGTTTCCTTTGACAATACTTGGAACAACATGGGTATGGGAGGGGAGAGAGAGCATCCATGCATGTGCATACCAGTCTCCAGCTCCACGAAGTATTACTGTCTCAGTCTCATGAAGAAACTGCATGTTCTTTGGAGCCTCTGATGTGAAAAAGGACGGGAGAGTTAAGTTCTTTAAACAAAGTTGGTAACCTGAGTCCTGATGGCGAGCTTTTCTCTGTTGAACTTACAGGAAACTGCTGGAGGGCGAAGAGACACGATTTAGCACCAGTGGGTTGAGCATTTCAGGGCTGAACCCCCTTCCCAATCCAAGTTACTTGCTTCCTCCTAGAATTCTTAGTTCTGCAACCCCCAAAGCCTTATCCACTGGGCTTTCGCTTAAAAAGGAGGAGGAGGAGGCAGAGGAGGAAGGGGCTCCTAAGGATGCCTCTAAGAAAACATCCAAGATAGGGGAAAGTTTTGAAGACACATTGGAGGAAACGATAATATCTACGAAGAAAACCGAGAAGTCAAATATAGAAGAAACTATGATTTCAAGCCAAAAAATGTAATTCCATTGCTTGAAAACAAGAGGTAATGCCTAAGAGGGAATGCACTTGACTTATTCTACAGCTTACTTCTGAACCACACCACCTATCACCGCTATAGAATGTCTTTAAGGCTTCACTGTCATATTTAGTACTGAACCCCTACTTTCTCCAGTAGGAAAGCTGCCTGTAGACAGGGGCAAACTGCAGTCCTGGAGCGGTCAGAGGAGTTCTCTAAGGACACAGCTTTCTCACCCACAGCTCAGGCTTCATAGTGACAGATGACTCGGGTGCAGAGGAAGGTGCTAATTCTGGTCATCATTCGCTGTGAGCTGAAATGAAAACCTATGTTTATCCACTATACCCCAGCAGCACCCAGCTATAGAATCTTACTGCAGATGCCTAGAAACAAAATCACTGCCGAGAAGAAACCATCGGTCCAGACACCATTCCCCCATCCCAGCTGACAGCTGAGTCACAAGTGACAGGTGTTTCTCTCACGGGCACATCTCCCTCTCCCCTCAATTCCGTACTTCCTTTTCTCCCACCCGAGAGGCGGGAAAGACTGGTGTAGGATTCCCTTCTGAACACGAGGAGAACTCCCTCCCTCGGCACTCTGTGCTCGGTGGGTAAGCGTAGGTGCATGTTGACCATTTTGTGACGTGTGTAATGACTTAACCCTGCCCATTTCACGCCCTTTCACTTCTGTACCTTAAAAAAAGAAAACACTAATAATGGCAGTGATTCATTTTAAGGGTTTTCCTAAAAAAATAAAAATGATCGATAGATTTTAGGCTTTCAGCTTGTCCAAATCCACTTAATTAGAGGGGAAAAAACTACCTTAAATGTTGTAGCTTTTCACTTTAACTTTAGAAGCACAGCCATAGTTATCCTATGCTGTGATTAAACCAACCTTAGACTTAGTAGCGTAAGTACAGGAAGTGAGTATGTTTCTGAGTGGGAAAGACCGAGGTCTCCTCTGTGTTGGTTTCCATTAGTGATATAGAGTTAGTTTTTTCCTACCCTTGCCCTGGAATCTGTGGTCCCTTCCCATTAGTCTAGGTCCTCGAGAGGCCTTGCTTTTTAAGACTGCTACATATAGGATATTTTATCACCAGACACAATGCTACTGCCCACAGGTGACAAAGGAAACACTTCTGGTAAATCAAAAACACCAGCAAATATTTTAAAAAGAAAAAAAAAAATCTTTTCTCAGAGTCTCTCCCCAACAGTGTTGCGTTGCTACAGTTGGTGGGTGTCTCTCCCCCTAAGGAAAGGCAGAAACATTCAGAGTTCAAGAGGAGTATGCCTACCCTCCCCCATCCAAGGAGGCAGGCTGGAAAGTCAGCTCCTCGTGCACCCAGCTGTGGCGTCTTGTCTGCCTCGTGTGCCAAATTTGATGCAGGATTTGCCCTGTCTCTGCTCACTTCCACCAGAGCTCTAGAGCTGTCTGTTCTGTCCCCACCCACCTCATCGCAAGCTGTGCTGTTAAGGACATGATACATCTACTGAACTCTCATTCTAGCACTGCTTCAGTCACTCAAGGAACTGGAAAGACACGATCCTTTTCCTGACCCATCCCCTCCTGACCCCCACGCCTACTGTAAGACATTAGTAAAATAAGAAATTAAAAGTCATTAATCCTACCAGCATGGCTTGTGCTCTGTGGTTTCTATTGGTCCCCTGAGGAAAGCATCATCTGCTCACAGGCTGCCTGGCCCTGACTACCTTTTTATCTTTTGATGAGTTGTTACTGATCAGCTGAACCCAAAATGAAAGGACAATACCCGTGTCTTACAAGGTGAGATGATGGTAAACTCCTGTAATGTCAGTACTCAGGCTGAGGTAGGAGAATTGTGTATTTGAGGTCAGCCTAGGCTACATCCTGATACTGTCTCAAAGACAAGAAAACAGGGCTGGGAGACAGCTTGGTTGGCCAAAGAATTTAACATTCAAGCTTAAGAACCAGAGTTTGACCCCAGAACATACATATATACATACATACCCAGCTGGCATTGGTGGCGCATGTCTTTAATCCCACCACTCCCAGGAGGCAGAGGCAGGTTGATCTCTGAGTTTCAGGCCAGCCTGGTCTATAGAGTGAGTTCTAGGACAACAAGGGATACACAGAAAAACCCTGTTTCAGAAAAAAGAAGAAGCCCTGAATAATTGTGAAGCTAATACATGGCACCAGGTATTGCAATCATTAAAAACATTGCTAGCTGGGCAGTGGTGTCATACACCTTTAGTACCAGCACTCAGGAGGCAGAGACAGGCCAATCTCTGTGAGTTGGAGACCAACCTGGTCTACAAGAGCTAGTTCCAGGACAGCCTCCAAAGCTACAGAAAACCCTGTCTCCAAATAAATAAATAAATAAATAAATAAATTGCCTAGACACGTAATATGCACTTGCAACCCCAGGACTTGGGGGGCCAAGTCTGGTGGATCCCTAGCTAGCCAGCCTAGCTACTTGGCGAGCTTCAAACCAGTGAGAGATGCTGCCTCAAAAAGGTGAATACTGACGAACAATACCCAATGTTGCCCTTTGGCCCCAATACACATATACCCATCTGCATATACATGCACACAAACACCCCAAAAAATCATCTCATACAAAATGGAGATTTGGTTCAGCTAGTAAAGTTCTTGCTTGCATACATGAGACATTTTGTTAAATCATCTGCCCTAGGGATGATAGTGCATGCCTGTAATCCCAGCACTCGGGAGGTAAAGGCAGGAGGATCCAAAAGTTCAAAGTGCTCTTCATTACATAGCAAGTTCAAAGCTAGCCTATAATACGTGAAATCCTGTCTCAAAAAAAAAAAAAAAAAAAAAAAGAGGATCCATGGGCTGGAGAGATGGCTCAGTGTTTAAGAGCACTAACTGTTCTTTCAGAGGACCAAGGTTCAATTTCCAGCAACCACATGGTGGCTCAGAACTCCAGTTGTAACTCCAGTTCTAGCAAACCCAACACCTTCACACAGACAGACATGCAGGCAAAGCACCAATGCATATAAAATAAAAATTATTAAAAGAGATGATCTTAGCCGGGCGTTGGTGGCGCACGCCTTTAATCCCAGCACTCGTGAGGCAGAGGCAGGTGGATCTGAGTTCAGAGGCCAGCCTGGTCTCCAGAGCAAGTGCCAGGATAGGCTCCAAAGCTATCAGGTTTTCCGAGAAACCCTGTCTTGGAAAAAAATAAAAGAGATGATCTTGTGGATCTGATAAATGAGTAAATCAGAACAAGAGGTACTATGGACACATTCAGAAACATTAGCAGAAGAAAAGGGAGCAAGAGGTTTCAACCTATTGACAAGAAGACAACAAAATGAGTCCAAGTGAGGGTGGGAAAGCCTGCTGGTGAAGTGATCAGTGGTCCCCAAGATTGCTTCCAGACTCCCTAGACAATGAGGTCCCTACATTGCAAGGTGTATGTGGTAACAGAGCAGTGGTGGTGCACACCTTTAATCCCAGCACTTGGGAGGCAGAGGCAGGCAGATCTTTGAGTTGGAGACCAGCCTGGTCTACAAGAGCTAGTTCCAGGACAGTCAGAGCTACACAGCAAAACCCTGTCTCAAAAAAACAAACAAAAAACAGAAAAACAAAGAACAACAAAAAAAAAAAACCAAAACAAAAAGATGTATGTGGTATGTGTTCGTGCCTATGTATGCACATATGGAGGCCAGAGGTCCGTGCCAGATGTCTTCCCCTGTTCCTCCCGCCTTATTTTTTGAAAAAAGGATCTCCCACTGAACCTGCAGTTCACTGATCCATCCATCTACATGAGCTGGCCAGCAAGCTGCCACAATCCTGCTGTCTCTGCCTCCCCACCCTGGGGTTACAGATACATGCCACCACCAAACCTGGCTCTTCTTCCGTGGGTGCTTGGGTCCAAATTCAGGTCCTCATATTTGTGAAGCAAGTGTTTCACCAATTCACTGAGCCAATTCTTCTAACCCTCTCTGCATCTTAAGACATTAACCTGTTAATTCCTACTTAGTGTCATAAATGTCAAATACTAAACTAGAAAGTAAACATAGAATTAGCTCATTAAATCTCACACCCCCACGTTAGGTATACTGTTTGTAAACCCATTTGACAAGCCAGGTAGCAAAGCCTCACAATGGCAGATTTCAGCCTGGATCCTTGTAGGATATCACAAGGTAAATGTCTGAGCTAAGATGCAGGTCTTCCAATTCAACTCCACAAGGCTTGCCTCTCTTCCCAGTGAGCATGGTGACACAGGTCTACAACTCCAGCACTTAGGAGGCTGGGGCAGCACTGCCAAAGACAGTAGAAATCTTTTTAAATCTTCTTTTTCTCAGCAGTGTTCACAGAAGCTTCCCCTGCCCAGAAACCTTGGCAGTACCAAGTCCCACGGGCAAGCTGCTCCGTGTGCAGACTTCCTCAGCTTCTGCCTTCATGCAGGGCAACGAGGCAGTGGAAGCTCAAAAGTGGTCTCTGGGCCCAGCATGGTGGCACATGCCTGCAATCCCAGCAGCTGAGAGGCAGAGGCAGGAGGATCAAGAATCCAAGACCATCCTTGGTTAATGTTCTATTTCAGTGAAGAGACACTATGACCGAGGCAACTCCTAAAACAGAAAGTCTTTAATTGAAGGCTGGCTTACAGTTTCAGAGGTTTAGCCCATTATCATCGTGGTGGAGAGCATGACATCGTGCAGGCAGACACGGTGCTGGAGAAGGAGCTGAGAGCTACATCCTAATCGAAAGCCGAAGCAGAGAGACTGAGTTTAGCATGGGCTTTTGAAACCTCAAAGCCCACCCTCAGTGACATGCTTCCCCCAACAAGGCCACACCACACCTCCCAATCCCTGGTGACCAAGGATTCAAATACATGAACCTATGGGAACATTCTCATTCAAACCCCCACAGCTACATAGCAAGTTTGAGGTCAGCCTGGACTACATGAAGCCCCATCTCAACAACAACAACAAAAACCCAAAACAAACAAACAAACAAATTGACTCTAATCTAGGCATGGTGGCATATATTTATAATATCA